TCAGTATAAATGTTGTCTACTTTTCTTTTGAATTTAAAATTCACTTGAATTTTGAATTTAGAATGTGTTTTCCAAGGACTATTTGCTGTAAAAATAGTGGTGAGGCTATGAAAATCTCCAATACAAGAGCTTTTCGCTAGCTAATTCTTAAATATCCTCCTCAATAACACTACTTTAGTCTATGCATCAAATCACTAGTCTTAGGGTAAGAAATATACCCCTTTTTGTATTGGAAACTTGAGGCAAAAAAAAATAAATTGCAATTGCATGTGAAGAACTTAGAGAGTTACGAGTTGTTCCCTCCAGCCTTTCTGAGATATCATCTACCACTATGAGCAGGTGTGATGCCAGACAGTACATTAAATATGCCAAGCAGAGTGTAAAGACCTTGTCCTGAAGATCTCCGTCTCAAGGCATGAGTGACAAACTAGAGGACAGTCACTGAGTACTGCTGTCATTATTACAGAGGTCAAAGAGGTGGGAAGGGGCTGGAGTTTTATTTATTTTTTTATTTAACTTGGCTTGTTCTCAGGTGAGGGCATGGACCTTGACCACTGATTCTCAAAGGGAAATAAGGCTAGTTTGACACAAGTCTCTCTACAGCATTAGAGTCATCCTACAAACACCAGTTTTAAATAATGATTTACAGAGGGCCACGAAGAATAATTTGGAGGAGTTTATAGGAAGGAAAGCTTTGAGAGCTGAACCAGAAAAGGTGCTTGAAGGTAAATCAAATTATGGCATACATTGAATTATGCCATTTGTTATTATGTGCAGAGTATGCATGGAATTTTGAACTAAAAGCTGAGGAAGCAAAGGTCTAGAAACTCACATGCATAGTAAATAAATTAACCCTTTATTCTCTTACTTTCTATACTCCCTGTATTTGGTGACTTATTCATACAAATGTCCACTGAAAAGGATTAATAAACCATGCACTTCCATGGGTGCATTTAACTAGTTGTACACATGATTAAAATATATGCCTCTGGGAGATTTTCTTTGGTACAATGTAGACACAGTCAGTATTTCAAAGGCCAAGAATTCTTTGGGAAAAGGAGAAGGGTTGAGTCTGTTTATGACTGTCAAACTTTCCTAAGCTTATTCAATTGGGATCTCTTGTCCTTTCTGTTTATAATTTGAAGATTATTCTAGTAATATGTTTGGCAAAGAAAAAACCTGCCAAATAGTCAGGATCTAACGACTGGATTAATGACTGTTCTGAAACCCACGAGTTTAGTATACTATACCATTCAGGACCTAGTCTCACTTTCTACTTTAAAAGATTAGCTTTCATTGCTATTTTTTATGCTGGAAACTGCATAGTATAAGGAAATCAGCTTATCATGAGCAGGTCATCAGCTCATGAGATATCTGCCCATAAGAAAAAAATATGATTGGAATCCTGTCACCAAGGAAATGGTTTAAAAATCTGTTTATTTCAGTGCCAAAAGAAAATCTTAGCTTCAATGAGTTATCTTTATTTTGCAATGACTTTAATTCTTTTGCCCATTCATTCATTACATGGCTACTATACACTAATCATTTAGAGAAAAGAACATCCTATATGATTATACAAACCTTAAACATAACTATATGTTTGGGTGTGTTCATATGCTTTTTTAAAGAGCACATTTGTGACAGGAAGTGAAGAATGGCATAGTCGGGGAAGAATTAAAGAGACATGATGTAATTATCCAAAGTGGAATTAAGCCAATTAATAACCCATGTGCTAACACTACCCTCAAAGTGCGGAAAATGCCATCAGATCTTTAAATGCCCTGGGTGGTCATAGCCAGCTAGCTTCACCTCATCCATTTCAACATCACGCGAGGGCTTGGCTCACCTCGGCTTCTGAGGAAGGACTCCCCCCTGAAGTGAGCTACAGACAAGGTGCAGATTGTGTGATCCAAGCACAAGACTCTCAAGTGATTGTGCACAGATTTTCACTTATTTACTTAATGAAATCAAAACACTGGTCTTTTATGCATTCGCTCATTTATTCAACACATATTTACTGAATACCTGCTGTGTGCCAGCCCAGCACCACGGCTGAGGACGCAGGCTTTAGAGTCGAGTGGCCCGCATTCTTCTCCAGCTCCACACTTATGAGCTGTGTGCTCTTGTGCAAGTTACCTAACCCTTCTATTCCTTGATTTCCTTTTCTGTAAAATGAGGATTGGTAGTACCTAATCCATAGAGTTATTATGACCCTAAAGTACAATAAAAAATGTGAAGTACTTAGCAGAGTGCTTAGCACAAATCAAGTGCTCCATTATATCTTGGTTATTGTTGTTGTTGTTGTTATTATTATTATTATTATGAGCCAGAAAATATACCACAGTCTGAGAACACAGAGACCTAACGACCCTCAGATGATCCTTGAAGTTTAGATTCTAGAACTTTGGGGTTCTAAACTTTATAGTCTCTACTGCCAACCTTTTCCAATAAAAGTCTGTATATTAGGTCCTTGCTTTGCTGTGTGTATTCCTGTCTTGAACCTGCACACTTCGAGAGCACACTTAGCCCATCAGAGTGTGCAGTTTTGTTTATTTATGACTTCTTCAATAATAATTACCATGTAAGGACCAGCCATGGACTTTATATACGTCAGCTCGTGTCATCCTCAAAACACCCTGCTGGGATCAGTATTCTCACCTTTTACAGACAGGAAAAGTGAGGCTCTGAGAGTGGCTGTGGCTTTTATTTTTTATGAAATTTTATAGAAGTCCATTTAACTCCAAAGCTTATTCCCCTTTTTACTCAGTCAGCCAGCTCGCATTTACCGAGCGCTTCACTGCTCTGCTCTGGGCTCTGGCCTATCAGGTGCAGTGAGACCTGCAGGCGGACTTCCCAGTGTCAAAATCACTGATCCCCCCTCCTCCTAAATTCATTGTCTGTGGACTCTGTGTTTTAGACGTGTCACAGCAGCTATTGCTAAAGAGGTTGGTGTGCAAATAAACGAAATTACTCTGGCTATGACTTCCCTCAGATGACTTGCCTTTGAGTGGGCTCCCAGGTGCCTGGCATTTCTTTCGGTTTCTTCTTTCACTCTAAGTAGCAACGCTGTTGCTGAAGCATGACTGAGAGAGAGTTTTCGCTTTTATGTACACCATGATTCCTGTTTTAGGACAAGAGACTTAATCTCTCTGGTAACATCTGATGGCACTGTTCTCTTCATAAGCACCTCTTTCCCTCTTAAAAAAAAATTTACCTTCCATTATCTGTTCTCAGGAGGGAGATCCTTACTGAATATCATCCTATGTGTCCAAAAGAAACCATTGAGTACGTGGACAGATAATACAGTTTCCCCTTTTTATTTTAGTAGATCGTTTCAATTGAAATGTGTAGGAAAGTTGCCCATAGCTAACCTTCCAGGTAGAAAATGTCAGCAGTGATATAAAATGACACTGTAAACTGAGGGACTCGATCTCTTTCACCCACAGTGCGCCTATATTTTAAAAGTGAGTTGTATGGGAGAACCACGTCTTTTTTCATGGTGATATATAGCAGACAATATTCATAGGGAGAATTGCAAATTCTGGGGGAGGTCTTTGTAGGTCCAGCCACTGGCCTTCGCTAGCTTGGAATGAGGCACCAGCTATACCTTGCCTCTACAATGTTATATTTTTCTGCTTTTCTCTGAGAATGAATTAAGGACTTAAATCCCTATCCCTAGAACTCAAAATGGACAAAAAAATATTTCCACTTAGCTATTTAGACCTTTTTAAAAATTGGAGGTGTGTGCACTAACTGTATAGATGAAGAATCTTGTTATTCTGGAGACAAGGGTGATTTCCATACCTGTTGGGCCAGAACCTTTAAAGAAAGCTGGAGATTAGCTGGTGCGATGGAAAGGACACTGGCCTGGTGGGCCCCTGGAGCCCTGGGTTCCAGTCTGGACACTGCTATTGCCTTTGTGATTTATTAGCCTGCGTCTCTGGGCCTCAGTTTCCTCATCTGCTAAATTGGGGCGTGGAGAGATTGATCTCTGTGGCTTTTCCCAGCTCTGGTATTTTCTCTGGGTCTGCAGATCGCCTTCAGTGTCTGCCATCGTCTGCCTTGCCAGCTCTGTTTGTCACAAAGATTAATCCATTTTAACTGTACCTTGGAGTGCTCCCGGGAGAGGAGGATAGATGGGTTGTTTTGCACCTATTATTGCATCAGAACTTTTGCCTTTTTAGACGAGATCGTGCCATGCCTAAAATCTGTCTGCCTGTCTGCCCACTGACTTTGTCTGTGCTGATTTCTTGCCACGGTGCCTCTTCCTCCAGCATCCATCTCCCTCCAAGATCTAGACTCGGCATCCGACTGTACCTGTCTTGGTCTCTGCAGCATCTGTCTGCTACACTCCTAGACCATCGTTAATAAACTTTCACACATTAGACGCAGACCCTAATATGTTGGCACCTGCACATAAATATCTACCGTTCATAAAACTAGGGGGGGAAACTCCATTTTTTTAAAAGACCTCTATCTAGTGCCATTTGTATTTGCACTTTTTGTTTAGTTGTAAGTTTTAATAGTTCCCCCTTTGAGGATTTGTCAGTACGAGCAGTATTGCTTATCAGAACACACCAACAGTCTTTTTGTAATATTCGCTTTTCCCCTTTGGTTCAGCCGAGCCTGCTGACAGATCATTCAAATTCAATTGTTTTATGTCTAAGCCGAACAGCTAATTAAAGTAGGGATGATTAACCTGACTGGCAGTGTCGCTCTCCCTCTCGCGCTCTCTCCCTCTCCCTTTCTCTCTCTCCCTCCCTCCTGTTCCAATCAGTCTTTTTCTCACACTCTCTCTCGCCTTCCGTGTGTCTGTCTCTCTCTCTCCCTCTCTCTCTCTCTCTCTCTCTCTCTCTCTCTCTCCCTCTCCCTCCCTCTCTCCTTCTCTCCCCCCTCTCTCTTCCTCTCTCGGTCTCTCTCTCCCTCCCTCGGTTGGTCTCTCTCTCTCTCTCTCTCTCTCTGTCTCTTGCTCTACTGTTTTTTTTCCTCTCTCTCTCTCCTAAACGTGGTCTGCTTGCTGATGGCAGAATGGCACTCGGAGATTTGTGCATTGTGTCTGGTTTCCTACGGGCAGGCTGACCCAGTGCCTCCAGGGACTTATCAATAGACCACTCAGAAGAGACACAGACAGGAGAGAGGAGGAGGGGTGGGGGGAGAGAGAGAGAATCAATATCAAGAATAGAAGGAGCTCCGAAGCCATTTTTTTTTTAAAGAAGTATCGGGACTTGGGAGAGGGTGACAAAGAAGGTTTTTCAAAGAGGCAGTGGAGGAGGTTCTAATAAATTTGGAAGGAAACAGTTCCCTGTCTTGGGAAAAGGAGAACTCCTGACTGATTAGCATTCACACCAGGTATGAGATGTTCGCTACCCCTTATCACTGTGTCGCAACCGAGATGGAAAAGCCTTTTTTTTTTTTTTTTTTTTTAGGAGACCGAGGGAGCATGTATTTCGCTGTGTTTGTTGTTGGGGGGTAAGGGGGGCGGCGTGAGATCTGTGGGCATTTGTGTATGGGAGCAGAAAGAATGGAAGCAGTACATCGAGGGGTGGGAAAGAGTATGGAGTATGTTACTGTCTTCCCTGTCTTTGTGCACCCCTGGGGGGTTACCCAAGTTCATTTCTAGCAGGTGGATTTAGACGGGAGTTACTTAACGCTTGACCGCCAGTTTTGAAAAAAAAGAAAAAGAGAAAAAAAAAGCTGCTTCCTATGTCTATTAAAGGAAGCTCCAATTCCTCTCTCTCTCTCTCTCTCCCCCCCCTTCTCTCTTCCCTTCTCTCTCTCTTCCTCTCTCTCTCTCTGCCCCCCCATCTCTCTTCCCCTCTCTCCCTCTCCCTCTCTCTTCTTTTTTTCCTCTTCTAACCAGACAGCGGGAGGGTTCCTGGCTCCCAGCCAGCCCAAAAGCCTCTAAGTGTTTTGCACTTGTTTCAGGGAGTAGCTGCCCGGGGATTTTTCAGCATTTTCACTAGAGAACAAAGAGTTCTTTACAAAGGGAAGGGTGGGGGGGGGAGTGAGCTTAATGTCTGATATATGTTTTTCTATTTTTATTAGTTTTTCGCCTAAAAAGAAAGAGACAGGAACAGAACATTCACTCTATAAAGACACAAAGACATTCAAAAGAAATCCAGTTATCTTTTCTCCCCATCACCCCCATATATACCTAAAAACATAAAAGGAAAAAGACTAATTAAGTTGAATATGTTGCTCTTTTCTCCTCTTTTAATCTTTCTAAATCCAACTGTTCTTATGCTCACTCTATCCTATTTTTTTTCTACTCACAATAAAAGTTGCTCAGAATGCATCTTCTCTTATCATCTCTTTACCCTTTCTGGGTCCCCAAAATCCTGTGGTGGAGAGAACAAGAGTCCATCAAATAATCAATTTAGTGGCGAGAACATCTTCCACTTTGCCACTTGGGTAAAAAGTTAATTATGGAATTTGGGTTCCCAAAATACCAGTGGGGTACATTAGTTCATTCGGTCTCACAAGTTTTTGCATCCATCTGTTTAAAAGGTACCGCTTGTGTCACTCGTCAGTTTTAAGAAAGGTACTAAGGGAGCAGATATTTGTATTTTATTTTTGTTTCTATCTAATTACGTAAATGACAAAACCCCCAGAGAGATTACTTGCCCCATCCGTGATATACTAGTTCAAGCAAAATACAGTCTAGACAGAGATTTTTCAACGATTCTGATTGCCATGTACCTTTGTCTTCTCCATTTGATTTTTTGCTTATGCATGTATATTTTTACCATGAATTTGTGTTTGTAGCAAACATCCCAGAATGCTTATCATTTTCAAATTAATCCTCCAACAAAAGAAAAGAAATCAGCACGTGAACTGTGTGTGCAAAATGTAGTAAACAATTCCATCTTTTATATATGCTGTACATTTATATCTTTATACTGATATCCTTGCATTATAAACCCAAGAAAATGTTTTCTTTCTAAAAGTTCTCCTCTTAATGCATTTATATTTTGATTGTCATTTGGAAATCTTTTTAAGGTATACACACAAAACTGAACAAGGGGAAAAATTCACCAGCCCCACAAAAATACTTAAATATATATTATGCACAGCACTTAACCACAGATAACTATTTTACTAAGTGGAAACCAGCTACAACAGTTGTTTCAAGATTAAGAAACTCTTTTCTTTTCTTTTCTTTTTTCCCATTCACTGAAAATATAATCTATTCCTGTCCCTGGGGAAGAAAAGTGTAGGGAAAATATAGATATATACATTTTCCCATATTTTTAGCATGCATTTATATAACTGCTTCTTAGGAGTGTAATGCATAGCAGGGCAGAGGGTGATGCCTACTCAGTAAACCCTTCTGGCTGGGAGGTGTGAGCGCCTTGTGTTTGAAGTAACTTGATAACAAGGAGTCTTTTCGGAAACCTTACTGTGTATGTGTTGCCTCAGTAATGACCCTCAGAGAAAAAACAAGAGCTAGGTGGCCGGTGTTTGCACTTGAACTCGCTGAAAGACATTAGAATTAGGGGAACTTTTGGCAAATCCCAAATTTCCTAGGGTAGCTCACTTCTTACCGTTATGTGTTTCCTTCAGGAAAATTCTTGTATTGCCTCCAGACTTTTCTATATTTTGGTCGAGATTTTTAATGCTTTTAATAGTGCGTAAGGAGAAAAGATCTTTAAAAGGAAAGTCATCAAAATAAGAGAAAAGAAACTCGGTCTTTAAAAAGTTTTATATTGAAGGCAAGAGCTTTTTTTCCCCTTTTGGCTTGTTTCTGATTTTCTTCCCCTGAACTCTTTTGTTGCTGTGGGCTGTTGTGCTTGCATTTTTGTTTTGTTTCTTGCTTTTCCTTTTTTGGGGGTCTATTTTTGATGTGACCAAGGGGGTCTCTGAAAGGGGCAGGGGGCTGAGGTAAGAGGCTGTTAACTGAAAACTGCTCGAGCCCCTCTTGATCCCAACTCCGGCAGCTCCTATCAGCTAGCTGTGCCGCCAAGCGTCCAGTGAAAGGTGATAGCTGTCATTCTGGGATTCTTCGTGGATCTGACCTGAGAGTAACACATTCGCAGTCGAGGAGAAAAGGGAAAAAAAATAGAGGAGGAGGAAAGAAAAGCTCTTTGAGCTGGAACACACTGGCCCTTTCTTCCTGTAGGCAATCCGCTCCAGTTCTTGGCGACTTGTCCTGCACTATCAGATATCATATGACTTTTTATTTAGATTCCTTTTCGGAGAATGGCCTGTCAGGACTCTGTTTGTTTTCTTTTATTTAATTTCCTTCTCCCCTCACCCGCTAGTTTTGTGTATCTGTGTGTGTGAGTGTGTGTGTGCGCGCATGCATATGTGTGTGCAATTTTTATCCTTGTTTTTGTTCTGTTGATCTGATGCTTTATTTAAGGACAAAGCTTTAATTATTTCAGTATACCGGTTTAATCATTTGCCAAAAAGAAACCTCATTCGAGGCTTTTTGGGGGGTCCGTTTTTAAACACGTCCATTAACGCATGAGGCTGGAGATCCTAAATGCTGGCTGGTCGGCCCTTGGCCCACTCTCTCACCTTAATTTAACTCTCCCCGCCTCAGCAGGCACAGGAGGAGAAGTTAGGAAACACCTGTGCTGAGTTGAGAGGGAAATAAAAGTAGAAGCAACTTCTTCAAATCTGCACTCCTGGTTTCACTTTAATAAACTTTTTTTAATCGTTGATTGTTTTTTTTTTTTTTTTGGCACCCTCTGCTGAGCTTGAAAGCATCAGAGATACTGAAGGATGTGTCTGTGGAGCTTTTGCGAGGCCAGCTGAGCACCCCTGGAAAGTCGAGCAGAGGCTGAAAGTCATTCCGAGACTTAAGAATTAAGTGAGAGATTTAAATAAGATCTGTGGGCTGTGCAGGGTCTGGTGATAGATGGTAAAATGGAATACTTAGGGATACTCAGGGAGAAGAAAGAGAGAAATTCCCAGCTAGGGGTAACACAGGCATTCCTGCTGCAATTAGTACTTTAAAAACTGTATGTAATCAAATTTTTATTTTGTATAACTCAAAATTTAACAGACTGATATGTGATTGCCTTCCTCTCCATGCTTACTATGTAAACCAGAGGAATTAAACTGACATTATTAGTGGGTTTCTCCTAAATTTTTGATGTATTTCTTTTTCAGTTTTGAAGAGTGCAGATTTTAGTTAGCAAAAGAAAAACATAACTTCTCTAGGTATGCAAATGGTCGTCTCTACATTATTCTTATCACTGCGTAACTGATCTATACATAACATAATATATCCTGTTTGTGGCAGGATTTTTTTATATCGTAACAAACAAGACTGCTTTGAAGGTTCAGATGACCATTGCATTCTCTAAACCCATCATTCTTAGTTCCTTGTTACTTTCTCTCAAATTATTTTTTACAGACCTTAAATTTCTAAAGCCTTATCTTAGCCGGAGGTGAATTTTGTTGAAACTTGGAGGAAAATTTATTCCACCCCTTTAAGAGTACCCAAAAGGGAAGGGAGAACTATTTTTCGTTCAACAAAAAATTTTAGAAACCTTTTTTTCCCCCAGCAGAAAACTCCAAAACAGCTTTGTCTCAGAACATTAAACTTGGCATGGATAAGAAATGTGAGTTTTGCTCTGTTTGAGGAAATTTGTTTTTGAAACAACAATGTTATAAATATTTTTAAATTGCCTGCTGAGCATGCGCTGTATCTGACTTGATTCATAGTTTTAAACACACACCAAGGTGCAGTCTTCTGAATGGCCACAGGTAAGGCTGTTGATTTGTATGATCTTTCTCAGAGCCACCTTCAGTGAGTCTACTCAGTTTTCCAGAAGGGAAAAGGGCGAGAGCTGAGTTTAGACCTGGACTCCTTTCTAAAAATCATAGAGCAAGAGTAGATTCCCCCATTAAGGCTTGCACATTATACTTAGGGTAAGTACTATTCAACTTTCCTTTCTTATAGGAGTCGCCTGCCTTAACTTTTCGGCTTAATACTAGCAGAGCAAATTAAGAAAAAATTTAACTCAGTGAGGAATTTGACTGAAGTAGAAAATTTGCACATTTTTAAGGGCATCTATTGTGCGTAAATTTGGGGATAAGAGAATTTGCCAGTGAAATGATAGCAGCTCCGTGCTTACAGAGCAAAGATGTGCTAGTCTGAACATGCCTGATCTCATCTGGAATCGAAAGCGAAATCTAGGTGGGCCTGTAAGGATACCAGAAAAGGAACACATGTATCTTTGTGTAATGTTTTTTTTTTTTTTTTTTTAAGCCACGCTTCCAAAGGGAATGACAAAGAAGTAGGTTGTCCTCTTGCTTAATAAGTAGTCATACTTTGCTTCTGGAGAGATATATTTCCAGTTGTTTCGGGGTGTTTTGTTTTGTTGTGTTGTTGTCAT